TCAGGGCCAAATTTTATCGGTCCTCCCACACAGAGGGGCAACATCCATCGATGAGTCCGCACCGCACCACCGGCCAATCAGAAGCGCTAAGCCGGATTTAAGGGCGGTCGAGACTCGTCCTAATGCCGGAATCACACGCTGAATTTGGCAGCTGAATATGAAAGTCAACAATCATCGCTTGACGGCTGAAATTTCGCGAACTCGAGTTATTTTCATCTAGATTTGTATTAAATAAACTCGAATAGTTCAGACGAACCCGACATTATCCGATGATCGCTGAGAATCGTTGCTGAATTTTGCGCGACACGCGGAAAATTCAGGCATCAGGCTGATGACTTCCACATTCAAGCCACATTCAGCGTGTGATTCCGGCATTAGTATACGTATCATGTGCGGACCGACAATATTCGGCACTTGATGTTGAGAAAATGACATGAAGCGCTACAAAACATTATTTTGCAAACGATTCCAAAGAGTCGAAAATGCGCAAAATCAACTGAAAGCAACCATAGTAATAATTTCCTGTTTTTTTTTCGTACAGTTCTCTGACTCCACTGATTTCTCTGGGAAGGAAGGGTATCGATACGGGCCACCTTTGGACATTCCAGTCTCTATTCGGGTCTAGCACTGGTCTAAAATGCGAAAAATATGGACCTTCACCTTCAATGAGCAAAACATCGTAGTGTTGCCCAAGTAGCATTTCTCAACGGAAAAATCGCTATGTATTGCGATTTTATTGGCGATAAAATCGCCAGGATCATCAACATCTGAGCGATTATCCTCGATTTTATCGAGATAAAATTGCACTTTAATCGCCCGACAATTTATCGCGATAAATGGCGATTTAATCTCGATTTTATCGACGAAAATTGATCGCACGCTTTTATCGAACCTAGAGTCCCTTTATAACCAGAGTTAAGACAACTCGATTATCAGCTGACTGGCAGCCGGCCTTGGCTGGCCATGGAGGCCGAAATGAGTGCACCCAAACGAACGATATTGAGGGATAAGGATCAGGAATCCTGCGATGTCTGTCACACAAAAACAACAGCATCAACAAATTGACCAATTAAAAAGAAAATGAGATTGGTTTGTGAATAATTTCTTAATCTATTTTCATTTTGGACCAATGGAAAAAACAATTTACTCTTGATAAACCACAATTAGGTAATATTTTTATTATTCTTGTTCACATTCAAGGTACCGCCATCTTGGTGCACTCGTTTCGGCCTCCATGAGCGAGAACCAATCAGAATTGGATTTTTTTTAGGCCACTTTCAGCCCAACCCTGGCCCAACCAAAAGTGAGTTGTCTTAACTCTGGGTATAAAGGGACTCTAATCGAACCAATAATTTCGATGTGTAGCGATTTAATCGCCGTATACCGCAATTTTTAATGCGATGCTATCTCGACAAATTGCCACCGTTAGGTATGTTATAATCGCGGTAAACAACTAATAAAATCGCTATTCATCGCGATCACTGCTACTTGGGTGAGGAAATTAAGCTAGAATGGACCCATAAGGGGTCTTTATCGATACCCTTCCTATTCAGTTTTCCAGACCTGTAGACGTCTTATGGGAAAAATACCTAGCATAATAACCGGTGAGTGAAACGCCAAAATTCTGTGAAAATGAGAAACAAATTTATTACAAAAAAACAACATGTAAATTTACAAATGATATCGATAAAACTTATGAAACGTTCCTTGAAAACGAACTGATGTAAAAACTATAAGGTTGGCGACAGAATAGTTTCTAACGCTTCTTCCACGTGAACTTTCTTCGGGCTCCTTCCTGTCCCGGCTTCTTTCTTTCCGCGTTCCTGGGATCCTTGGTAAGCAGTCCAGCTGCAACAAAAAAGAGTGAAAATGTGAGTAATTCAAACACCTGAAGACTAATTCTACGTGTATCCGCGCAAAGTGCGGAGTTGCTCCAGAATTAAGGAAAAACAATTCCGTGAAATTTGCCAGATTCGTCCGAAATGTTTTGGTCAAATTCCCTAACATTTGAGGATATGCGTGAAAATGCATAACGAGGCCATGAGGAACAACACCGCCTAACTGACAATTTTCGCGAAAATGAGTTCCAGGGTGTCTACGAAAACAGGCTGGCCAAAAATCAGTGCTTTTTCAGTACATTCCCAGGAAATTCAGTACCTCCTCGACAGACAAAGAGCCTTGCACAAAAAGGGCTAAAATTCGCCCGTTTTCGGGCCCTCGAAATTGGGGTCGGTGTGAGGTATTTTTTCATCTATAGGGTGACCCTTTACACATAATAAAATTTCAGATTGAGTATACGCACCGTTTTTGAGATATGGGGGGGAAAAGTCCCCGATTTTTACTCATATTTGCAGGTATTTTATAGTCGAACTTCGGCTGCTACAAGGTACCGGATGTAGATATTGAAGCGCGGTTTGCGGTGATTTGTCAAGCTATTTCTGGATTATTTTTTCACATCTTTTACAAACCCGCAAATGGTTTTTCGGGGGGGGGGAGCTTTATTCATACTATCATGACCGTTCGTATACGTCTTACTGGCATTAATTGCTTCGTTCTCGACTCCTCTCCACGCCGTAATCATGATGGTATTTTCTGTTAGGAATCTTTCTTCTTCTTTATATTTGACCAATTCTAATGTTGTCTCCCCCTTT